TGCTGTTGTCCTCCAGTCAACGTAATGGAGGAGCCGGTTAAGAAGAAGCAGCGCATCGAGACCAGTGCAGGCGGCAAAAATTTGCTCACCGACATCGAGGAGCTGCAAAGGAACCTGCTTGCTCGATGCTTGTGCAATATCCCGGAAAGCAGTTTGCGCAAGCCATTCACCAGCTTCACAGTGGAGGAGGCTGACGGTAGCATCCGTTATGCCGTTCTGTCTGATTGGGACACGGTTCAGATTCTGGAGTATCTTAGCGCCCTGCAGCTGCTGTTCGAATTGGCCATCAAGCAGAACGCGAAAAACGTTATGTGCAAACGAGTGGCGGACGTCTGCGACGCGGTAGCGCGGAACGAGCACGGCATCGTCGATCAGATTATCGATACCAATAAATTCGTGTCGTACACAGCAAGTCGCGTGCTCGCATCGTTCTTCATTGTCACGAGAGACAACGTGGAGACCGCCTGGTTGGAGAAACTCACGCAGTCTCTAGTTAACACACACTCGCCCAACCAGATGCTGTTCACCCTGGATGTGGTCAAGAGAGTGGTCGAACATAAAGACTGTAGTATACATCCAGAGGAAGGAGACACATATGTGCCACCACCCGGTTGCAATACCTTCGTCATCACCGACTTTGACAGCACGACGATCAAAGCGATGTGCGTGAAGGCGCTCGAATCTAAGTGGACCATTCTTGTGTCCAAGTTCAATGACATTCTCAGGGCGTACACGCCGCAACACGCGTCCGTTGTCATCACATTTTTGCATTTGTGGGAGATCATTATCTCGGTCAAAGCCAATCTTTCTGTTATTGACACCAAGACGTTTTACTCGCAGCTGAACAATCTCGTGCTTTTATTAAATGCCAGTGTGCCAGGTGTAATCTGGCGACATTTGCTTAGACTCTTTAACGAGGTACTGTGCTACGGTAGTACTCTAGCCCTACAAGATGTACTACCGGACGAACCGTGCTCCCTAGCGCACCTGATTGTGCGCGCCGTCAAGGATTGGCGTCTACTCGACTCGTTGCCGTACCGTCACGGTTCTGGCAGGTTTGGCGGTGGCACCAGCGAGGGTGATCGTCCTCTGCTGCAGAAAATGGTGCTGTTAGTGCTGAAAAGCGTCGCTGTGACAGTACGAGAGACGCGCAGCGATTCCAGCGACTCGTCCCTCGGTTCTGAAGTCGAGGATCTCGATGAAGACATGGCGGTGATTGAGAGGAGTATCCGCGAGGTACTACGTCAGCTGGATCAGTGCGTAAAGACGTTGATGCCCTTCCATCCGGAGATGCCGCTGTCGCAATGGGTCGTCCAGATGTTTCATGACCAGGATGATTTCCTCATAGAGGGTATGGTTTGCTGCCTAGATGTTGCCGTGGGCTTATTCTATCGCGGTCCACCGCAGAATGATCTGGGCCAGATGCTCAGCCCTACATTGACCTTCGTGCAATTCATCCACGCCGTGTCGCACGATCCTGGCGTTCTGCTGGATCTGCTTGTCAGCAACGAGACTTGCTTTCTGCTGTATCTCTTGCGATTTCTCAAGTATATTAAGCGTAATTGGATTGAGTTCGTCAGGTGCTGTGGCCGTGAGCTAGACAACACCATGACTGTACTGATAAGACTACGGTTGTCCATTGATCGACTGGTGTCCAAGAATCTGTTCCCTTATAATATTATTCCGGTTCTTCGTCTACTCGAAAAATGCGAGTCTTTTTACGAGGGTAACGTGGAGAACGGGTAACAATCTCGTGTAACATAAAGGGATGTTTGGAGAAATTCGAATCGCCACCAAGTCGACTGAGTGTGTACAAATTATATGAACGGAATTCTCCGATCTTAGGTTGGAATATCTGGCTAATATTTCGGCTCGGAGAATATTTCCATTCATACAATTCCGTTTACACTAGATTTTGCCATCTGTAAAATATCATGTGTAGTGTACAGATTGCCGCATACCGTCCCGTAAACGCGAAACGGCCGGACTGACTCGCCGATTCGTCTTCTTGAATTTTTCGAGCATCGATGTCAAGGACAGATGTCTTCAGTGCTTGAAAAACTCAAGAAGACGAATGCGTTTCTTATTTATTAGTCTTTAGCGAAATTTTTCAATATAGCTAGAATTGCAAGATGGAGAATTTCCATCTGTTTACGAATCAGCGAAGTGTTGAGTTATTCAACTGCGATCAAGTCGGAGTACAAAAAAAAAGAACGAAATTCGCGTTGATTAAGTCTCAAAACGAAACTTCGTTTGTGTGTCTTACAGAAATCTAATACTGGCCAATTTAATATTGGAAGTGACTTATTTTAAAAGCACTAAACAGTTCCAGTCAGCCAAATTTGTTAAAAACAAATTTTGTCAAATGCTACAATTTTTTTTTACAAAAAGTACCAAATTTGATGCAAATTCTGTTATATTCAATGGATACTAGCAAATTGGTGACAGACATACAACAAAATCCACTGATAAAATATGAGAACAAATTCTTGGCAAAATCGTGCAAAACTTGTTGACAATCTGACAGCAAATTGATAGCAAGAACCAATCAAAACTGACCAAAGCTTTGCTCGGTTCTTGCTGATAATTTGCTATTACATTAGTTAGCAAATTTTATCAGCAAAATATAGACTTAAGATGTCAATTTGCCGAATATTTTGATTGAACTTGTCAATAATTTGTAGGCAAATTATTATTTATTATTAGCAAATGTTATTTTGCTAACTAGGAGTGTTTTTAATACTCAAGATAAGTAATCAATCACTACTTTCCAGCATTAAATTTCTGTAAGGGATGGTGCTAATGAATTATGTTTCTGGCATCATTGAAAACATACATATTGATGTATACCACTAGTGTAATATTTATATGTATACTTCGAGAGCTATTTGTACAATTTCCAGTCACACCTGTAAATGTAATTTTATTGTATTTTGATAAAATACCTGAGAAATCTGTACATATCTCACAAACATCAGAGCCGACTTTGTACCAAATTTTGTTGGACGAAGTTACATAATCTTCCAATAATTCTGAAGGAAATTAAAGGAGAAAATTCTTGTTATATTAGTTTTGCATAAATTATAATGCAGCAAGTGCGGAAAACGTAACACATAGAAAATTATGTTGTCGTCAGGTCTGGTCTCGTACAGCTTAAATAAAAACAGACATTTTGTAGTTTCAGATTCCTAATTTAAGAACAAAGAGAAATAACGTAAAATATAATTTGCAAATGTCGATGTTATGCAGAATACTTCTGATTAGCGTTTTGTATTATTCGTACTCTATTACACACGAAAAATTAAATCTCTTTACGTACAAAATTTAAAATCTAAGTGGAAGAAAAAAACACGACAGTTATTCGCAGTTGTTTCGAGATTTTTGATAAAACGTAACTGTAAATAGTGACATTAACAAAGCTATACAGGCGTGCTACGTATTCAACATAAGATTTCCTTCTGTAAGTAATGTAATACACTAAAATTCTCACATTTTTACTTTTATAATTGTGGTGTCGTTTAATTCACTCTCCCCCTGTGATTAAGGTACGGTCTTGCTATCGTTGGTCTCTTAATTTTACAGCAACGTAGATTCCATGTTTATGTGAAAAGATCAGATTCGATTGCAGCTGGAAGATATTTCTTTTTTTCAATCAAATATTTATTATCATCTTTCCCAAACGCAAGTCAAATACAATTGCCATTATCGAAACTTACGATTATAATGCGTAGCCCGGCAGATTGTCGTAATGTCCCACGATTAACTCTTTGTGTCACGACCGTTTTTTTTTTTAATTTTGTATCCGGGGATTTTTCAGGTTACTGACATCATTATAAAAGATATTCAAATTATTTATTTGGATTTACAGTAAAACATCAATTTTTCCATATTTTTTTTTAAAGAATATTAATTTATAATAAAAAAACAACGCGCATTGGAAAAATCTTAAAATATTCTGAAAAATACTTTAAAACGTCCTAAATGAGTATCTAAATTATCGTTTTGATACTGATAATAGTTTAGTAGAAAAAATACATATTTTTTTAAAGTACAACTTTAGACTATTTTAGTTACAGTAATTACATTAATTACGCAAATACAAATTTATAGTTGCCTACTTTTTTTTAACACTTCATGTTCTAGGGAATTCTAGGAAAACAAAAAACCAGTACTTAACGTCAAGAAATTCATCAAAATAATTAAAAACTGAATGAAAGAAGACGAGATTTTTAGAGTATCGTTATGACACAAAGGGTTAATCACGCAAATAATGTTCGATACATTGATTAGAGCGATGTAACGCGCTTATCTCACCGGGACAAACCGTTCGGATCTCCTTTTTGTTTTTCTTTCTTTTTTTACTTTAGAAAGATCCATATATAGAATTAAGTTTATAACGTTAGCCTTCCTTGGCTTATTTTTTTTTTTATAAAATTTACGCTACTCTCTATTTAGAATTTGCAAATATAGCTCTAATTTAAACATTCGATCAGAGCGCGATCGAGGAATTTTGTGTCGAGATGGACAGCTTCCAGAAACACAAAAATTTTCTTACTAAATATTTATATTTGTGTATTAAATCATTATTTATATACCTCTGTACTTCGTCAATAAATCACTATTTCACAGCATCATTTTCCCATTTGAAATGAAAACTTAGCGGTATCGTATGTTAAGTTTTTTCTCCCTCTCTTCATAAATTAAACATTTAATTGCATTCTTTCCCTCTTTTTCTCTCTTCAATTCAAAATGTTACTTTGCTTCAAGTAAAACTATTTATCGCATATTATACATCGACGTACGAAACTACGCGAGACTGTACATACCTCCATAAAGTTTTTAACAGAACGGTAAATGTCCACTGCTTTACTGTAACTACAGCAAGAGTTAGTTCAACAAGCTTCACTAAATTAATAACAAAATCTAAGTTACGTAGCCCATTATTTAGCGTGTAGTGTTCAACAGTGTGGATCATTTATCGCGTTTTATATTTGTTTCTCTCTCTCTCTCTCTCTCTCTCTCTCTCTCTCTCTCTCTCTCTCTCTCCTTAATTTACTGTTTTGTTTGCTCTTTTATTCGTTGCTATACATGTTCCCATACTATCTGTAGATATAATAAACCGCTAATTGTCCGTAGCATACAATGAAGCATTCTCTCTCTGTACACGTTATCTAAATGAAAGATGTTCAATGTTCGTCGCGGCAGAAGCGATTCAAGTGATTTACATAACGACACATGCGCGAGACATCAAGAAAAATTAAAACGTTGCGAGTACCATTAGAGACAGTTTTCCTTTTGTCACGAAAATATAACAGACTGTCGTTCGCGTAAGTCCCGACAGTTTTAGACGAGAAGAAAACCGCGAGTCTCTGCACGTGTTTACTGCACGTGTAAGCTGCATACTAAAACAAATCCTACCTCGTAAGCTTAAAATTAAAATTATCCACTAATTTTCTTTATCCGAGAATAGGTACGTTATGTTCGGATTCAAGGAGGCGATTAAAAACAATTATGTAAGAGCAGAAGAAGAGAAACACAATTAGCGTCAGCTCATCAAACATTCGCACAAGAACTTACATGAGAATTGTTACACAAAGCCGCCCGAGAAATACAAACGACATAATATTCCGCACGTGTCGTACTTATTATCTCATTACTACGCATACATATATATTTATATATATATATACTTATTGTTTCGACTATACCTATCGGTGCACATGAAGCTTACTCAACGTTTTATTGCACTTTTACATCGAGCCGCCTCTTCATCTTCTTTTTTTAATTGAAAAATCAATGTACAAGCAATTAAAACTCATTACGAAAAAGGATTTCGGGACCGTGATGTATTTACTAGAATTTAATTAAAACCAAGTCTCTCGTTCTCCTTCTCATAGAAAATAATCTAAAAAAAAAAAAAACTTTCGGATTTATAGGGAAAGTGTGTTCTTTGTGGTAGAGATTATTATAATAAATAGCACGCGCGCGCATGTATATATCGTGTATAACGACGAAATACAATCGGATCATTAACATGTGATCTCTCTACTACCCAGAAGCCTTTATACGTTCTATAGCAAAAGTAGCGACTTTCTCTATTTCTCTCGCTCCCACTTCAGTTACGCTTCACGTTTAGCCTGATAATTTAATTGCGATTCGCCGTCCGGCTAAACCGATGAAAATTCCTGTCACTCCCGTATTAAGTAGTCGGATGATATGAGCTAATTAGCGCCGCGTCCACCGGCTCCATACACGACGGACATGTCAGCGAGCGCAGCAACCAGTCGTCGATGCAGATTGCGTGGTAGGTGTGCATGCAGGGTAAATAGCGCACTTCTTCGCCCGCCTGCAGCTCCATCATGCATATCACGCACTCGCCCTTCTTAGCACCGTCGTACTCTCTCATCGGCAAGTGCTGTATCAGTCCTATACGCTTCGCAATTCTCACTTGTTGTTCCTCTTCGCTCAAACCAGCAGAACCAGTACTCTGTACCAAATTGACTCCGATCCCACGACCAATATTCAAGTTGGTAGACTGTAAGTGACGTTCCCTCGTAGCGATCGACGGATAATAAGCTGCTTGCTGTAGAATATTGAAAAATTAATTAATATTTAACCACGATATTTTTCCACATATTATTTGCAGATCCTTAGAATTTGTAAAAGTACAGAAGTTATTTAACAGAATATACATACGAAAATCATACGTTTCGCGGGTTTTCTCCAGATCCATTCTTGGAATGCCAACGTTTCGTGAACCTTGCAGTCTACTTCATCAGTATCAGGCTGCTCCTCGTTCTGATGAAGTGGACTGCAAGGTTCACGAAACATTGGCATTCCAAGAATGGATCTGGACATGGAGAAAACCTGCGAAATGCATGATTTTCATATAGAAAACACCCGTGGAAGCCTCAAGAATAGAATATACATATATTATTTCATTGCCAAAATTGAGTAGGAGTGTTTATGCCACTGCATTTACTTTATATAAAGCAGCAGTCAATGTGCTAATCCAGTGCAAGTCACTTCACCATTAGTTACAGCCTCTATACTTAAAATCAGATCTATTTGGCTAATATTCATAATCCATTCTTATATTTAAGACTGTCTTAAGTAGTCTTAAGATGTCATAAGCCAATCAATGGCTAGTATTCATAGTTGGTTCTTATTTTAAGACCATTAAAATTAGTAATGTCTTAAGTAATGTCAAGATGCTAATACACGCGGCTCTCTGACTGGTTCATAATATCTTAAGACTATACTTAAGACAATCTTTGATATAGTATGAATACTGGCTAGACAGCTGCATTAACATTTTAAGATATTATTTCAGACGGTCTTAAAATAAGAACTAACTGTGAATACTGGCCTATGGCAGGTATTCACAGGTATAACAATCAGTTATTATATTCAAGACCATCTTAAGTTCAGTCTTGAGGTATAATGAAACAATCAGAGAACTGCACTAGCGTCTTAAGACAATCTTAAAATAAGTACAGACTATGAATACCACCTTATATATATTCAAATAAATAAGAAATGGCAGACATAGGAAGGATATCACAGACAAAGAAAAGATATATTCAAGGAGACAATATTATCGCCACTTGTATCATTCTATCTTTATTTTATAAAGAATTGTTTAATGAAGAATAAAAATAGAATGATACAAAGAATGCTAATAGCGTCTTCTCAAACATTCAAAGACTATAAGATATTTCGGGTAAGATAAGACAGACAACAGTGATGATAAGACAGTAACAACAATAAGACAGCAATGGCGATATACGTGAATTACGTTGTAGGGAATCGGTGGTCCAAGGCCCTCCTGCGAAGATCCGCTCGTGGACACGTTGGGCTCGGGATTATTGCTCAGGAGGGTGGTATTGTCCTGTTGGTTGCCGGTGACGCGTTTCAAGCAGTTGCCCATGATTCTCTCTTTCTCTCTCTCTCTCTCTCTCTCTCTCGCTCTCTCTCTTTTTTTCTCTCTCACTGGTGGCGAGCTGTCAGCTTTGCAAGTTGCTCGCGCGTCGCATTCGCACGTCTACTCCAGATCACGATCCCGCTTCCTCGTTCCGCGCGAGCGATTACAGGCTTCCGTGCAGACACGGTGACGACGGCGACAGCGCAACAGCGATTTTTGACGCACATTCGACGACCGTGCTCCTTGCCATTTCACCTGAACCGCCGCTCGTCGCGGCGCGACAACATCCACTGTCGACTTATCGCGAGAAGCAGCACGGATGACGCTCGGCAAACGTGATCGAGATATAACGATGCCGTCGCAGTAGTCGTCCAAGCGCAGTCGTTACATTACATATCTCTCACTGACCAGCAGCAGCAGACTCACTACCAGCTGAGCGTCGCCATGATGCGCGGAACATAGCAGGCGATTCGTCCGCGCATCATTATGGCAACGGAAGTTGGTCGATTTCAACGCATCATCCTCGTAGAGTTCCAAAGGTGGTATATTACGTCAGAAAGGATGAGAAGAATTTGATAAATTACCGGTATTTTTCCGAGATTTTATGAGAATTTATAATTTGCATGAAATACAAATAATTTTACGTTTCCAAATTATTTAATGTACATATTGCACATGTTAAATGTTAGAATTAGCAATCGTAAATTTGATGGTAGTACTTGATATCGTGGTGAGATTCATGGGAATATATTGTAATAAAATTTAAAGAAAATAAAAAAGGCACAACAGAGAAGATATATGCTGGATTCACCCTGCATCCGATTTTCGTCGTGCGACGCTCTACATCCAATCAGAAAACAGGATTCCGATAATACGAAGTAAAATTCATCGGAATCCTGTTTTCTGATTGGTTTGTACGACGAAAATCGGATGCAGGGTGAAACCAGCATTAGGGCTGTGTGGTTCAGTGACAGGACGGAAGTTAATTTATAAGCTCTGATCTACAATAGGTGTTTTAAGCTTTAAACCATACGAAATTAACCAATTACAGTCGAATGCAAAGAGAATAATCGACCATGATTCGTCCTTTTCTTATGGTTTAAGGCTTAAAAACCTATAAAAGATTCGGGCTAACACTTTTATGCTTTTTAAATCGCAGTACATTAAACATTTAACCGATTAACTTAATTGGAGTTGGTGACACCGGGCGTGGGTCTATGGCCGGTATTCATAGTCGGTTCTTATTTCAAAACCGTCTTAAGTAATGTCTTAAGACGCTAATGCGGCTTTCTGATTGGTTCGTGACACCTCAGGGCTGAACTTAAGACAATCTTGAATATAAGAACTGACTATGAATATCGGCCTATGAATTCCGGATGGTAGTATGGAAAAGAACCATGAAAACGTGGACATTACCCTACGAGGTTTGATACACGAAAAAGATCGGGATGTCCACTTTCAGGCACTTTCAGATTTCTCTTTGGTTCCATGATGCATCATGCCTGGGTAACCTGGGTTCCTTCCACTAATGCCGAGTGCGGCAGTCGTGTCGCGTTTGTACTCGAACCTCAAAAGGACGGTTCCTCCTGCAACATCCCTGAATCTGACGAGGGCGAGTCCAGGTGAATCGACGTGAACCTCCGAAGAGATTTCCGACCAGTGAGCCAGAGAATGGATGGTCATCGGGCGTCGCGTTTTCTGGCGCTCGCGGCATCGATGAGCCTGCTCCTGGCCACGTACACACCGGGCCACGTAGCCGGCTCGGGAGTGCTGCAGATACGCGGTATACCAGTGGCAAAGAACTCGTTGTACCGGCCGGACCGCGATTTCGAGTGCCTGGACGGCAGCCGGCTGATATCTTTCACCCGGGTGAATGATGACTACTGCGACTGTGGAGACGGCAGTGATGAGCCTGGGACAGCGGCGTGCGCCAACGGTGTCTTCTACTGCGACAATGCCGGTCATAAGCCTGCCTACATACCGTCATCCTGGGTGAACGACGGCGTGTGCGACTGCTGCGATACAAGTGATGAGTACGCGTCCAGAGTGGAGTGCATCAACAACTGCAACGAGTTGGGCCGAGAGGCCCGTTTGGTGCAACAGAAAGCGGAGCAGTTGGCACGAGAGGGTAACAAGCTGCGTGTAGAGCTAGTGGCCAGAAGTAAGACCATCAAGACCGAGCACCAGTCACGTTTGGCCAAGCTGAGAACGGATTACACAGAAGCGGAGTTAATCAAGAAGGAAAAGGAGCTGTTGAAGAAGCAAGCCGAGGAACTGGAGAGCATAGCGCTTGAGAAGTACAAACCCATCGAAACAGAACAACCGGCAACTGAGGAAGCCATCGGAGAGGAGGAAGAGGAAGATGAGGACTTGAGCGTTTCTGAAGTGGAAAATTATTTCAAAATGCTGGATTCGGACTCCAGTGGTACTGTAACGCTAGTGGAACTGCAAACCAGAGCTACATTTGACAAGAACAGGGACGGTGTCGTATCAGATGAAGAAGCGCTGTATTTCCTTGGCGATAAGAAGGAAGTCACTCTACAAGAGTTTACAGATAACGCATGGGCAAACATCAAGCCTTTCTTGATGTTGGAACAAGGTAGATAACATCTAAGCTCACTATTTTTTTTCTACAGTCTGTAAATTACACTTGTTTATAAAAAAATTTTTTTTCAATTACTTTGGACCAGACTATGTGTCTCTTATAGATTTTTGGATGCTGAAAATGATGCTGCAAGTTAAAAAATTCTAGCACATTAGATATCCAAGATAATTGAGATTTAATATGTAAAAAGTGGTTTGGGAAGACCTTTCATAACATGACTAAAAAGTAAGGTAATAAAATAAAAAAAAATTAATTTTAGAGGGGATGAACAATACATTCATGACTTCTGATCGAAATTTCGAAATAACATTAACCTTCTTTGGTTTTTCAAAAAAATGTTAAATATCGTAAAAAAAAAACCATTTTTTACATATTAAACTTCAATTATCTTAGAAATCTGATGTACTAGAATTTTTTTCGCTTGCAGCATTGTTTTCAGCATCTAAAAATTTATAAGAGATACATATTCCGGTCCAAAGTAATTTTTTGCTGTAAACTAGTGTTATCAATTTCGTTACGTAATTGCAGGTATATTCAAAGCAGCAAAGGAGAAAGGAGAGATCAAGGAGCATCAGCCTATGGAAGACTTGGATCACGAGAAGGAAGAAGAAGTTCCTGATGGAGAGGAAGAGGAAGTACCTGAAGAGGAACATGAGAAGGAATCACCAGAACCGGAAGTTCAATACGACGAGGAGACGCAAGCACTCATCGATGAAGCTACCAGTGCTCGCGAACGTTTCCAAGAGGCAGAGAAGGCCATCAACGAGTTGCAGTCGGAGATCAGACAGTTGGAGGAGAAGCTGGGCCGTGATTACGGGCCTGAAGAAGTGTTTACGTCGCTTGACGGCGAGTGCTTCGAATACACGGACTTGGAGTACATTTACAAACTGTGTCTGTACGCCATGGCAACCCAGAGGTCCAAATCCGGTGGTAGCAGCGTCAATCTTGGCCACTGGAACGAATGGGTCGGACCGACCGGTGCCGAATACACTAAAATGAAGTACGACCGAGGCCTCACTTGTTGGAACGGCCCGGCTCGTTCCACGATTGTCACTTTGTCGTGCGGAACGGAAAATAAGCTCGTGTCAGTAACGGAGCCGAGTCGCTGCGAGTATGCCATGGAGTTCTCCACGCCGGCGCTCTGCAACCCTAACGCAGCGGAGACTGCCGACAAGCACGATGAACTGTAAACTCGTGAATTTGTATAGTAAAATGAAAACGCGATTAGTCGCACATACAATGTGAATGTCAGGCACTTAAGTTCTTTCGGTGGACCGCGAGATGCGAGCATCGAGTTGCAAGGATCGATAAGAAATAACGTTGAAATAAAAAGTTCTCTCGCAAGTATTTCCAATGCAATCGCGATTAGTAATGTAGCTAGTAATCTTCTTTATTTCAATGAATATCTGTCCTCCGGTTGGGATCCAATACTACTTTTCTTTTTTGTTTCCAGAATAGCTATAGCAGTCATTACCGTTTAGCATTTAGGCGATGGAGTTCCACAGAGATTTCGAGACACTATCGGTTGTCGTAACCTTTTTAATATCAAAATTTGTACTCTTTTAAAGATGAAATAAGATCACTACCATGGATAAAATACATTGTCAACGGAGCCTAGTCATGTGTTGGTTTGATCAAAAAATTCAATTGCTCTTACATTAATAAATCGTGGATCGTTCGAAATCGTTATATCCCATTGATATGTTATATATTTTACCGACCATTATAATTCGCATATCATCGGTCCACAATATGTTAATAAAAAAAGACGAAAAAAGTCCTTGATCAACCTAATACAATACATGAATATATATCATTTAAATAATAACTTCAGTAACTTCGGTACTTTGAAATAAGAATGATAAATGTATTCAAATGTTTCCGCTGAAATGTGCCACTATGTACGTAAATTACAACGATTATGATCGCGATCAATAATTCGTCCTTGCATCCGAGAAGTTGCATAATATTGAACAAAATTCGCTAGCGATAAAGTAATTATCTAGAATCTTATCCTGTTTCGTGAAACCACAGAGACCACATTGTTACGCGCGAATTCATTACCAACGTGTTAAAAAAAAATTCGCTGTTACATTCCTCTTTTTGTACGTACACGAAGTGTTTCTACGTGTCTAAAAATATATAAAATCGTGATGTAACGTCGTGAGTGACGTAAAAAATCTAAATGAGACGTACTTTGTATTACTTAGTACACATGGCGTTACAAATGTCTTAACACACGAGTTGCACGAGTATCGGAGAAGGAATGAGAAAGAATGAGAAAGCATGAAAAGGCATATTAAAACGTTTGTGACGCCGTGTGTACATACTTCGTACCGATATGAGAAAAAAAAAGAATCCACACCTTTTTCGGGATTCCATTAGCCACACGTACGTATAGATGATGTCCTAATGTTCCGCATTATACACTTAAGTCGGTGATTTTGTAATTTTTTAAGGACGCGCCACGAAAATGGCGCGAATACTGTGGGATGTGCATGTAATAAAAAAAGAGAAAGGGATTCTGTTGTCGAACCGTAATTTGCGATGGCAGCTTTATTTACATCAATGGAAAGAAAATCTGTTGAGTGTAAATGCGCGCGTGTATGTATGCCTGTGTGTAGAATTTCTCTTGTTATTCTGTATATTATTATATATAATATTACAGTGACGTGGTGGTTAAAATCCAGTTTTCTCTGTTTTACTCTAAGAGACAATCTCTGCATCTTTCGGGATCCGAAACGTACGTCCATTATCTGAATAACTAAATAGGGGGGGGTTGATATTTCCCGCATTTCCTATATTTCAGTTCCTCGATTGATTCGGTAAGGCACTTGAAAGGCTACAAAAAATCATTACTTCCTCGTGAAATTCGAAGAGTATAAGACGATATGCTCTATACAGCCTTTTCAACGCATTTTGAGTCAGCAAGAAAAATTGGGTAATCACATACTATCGCCGACTATCGACAATTTCACAATTTTCCTCTATACATCCAGATCATCCTCCTTTTAACAATCTTTTATAGGCATTTAATTAAATCGAGACAAGGTATCAATATCACTTAGTGATATGTTTCATCGACGAGGAATTGTAGGCTCATTTTAACACAATTCGGGTTACGCATTACATATGTAGGCAGTCTATGGACAATTCGTATGGAAGATTAATACGTTTCTTGTATAGAATAAACAGATTTTTCGAGAGCGTCAAAAATATACAATTGCACACGTAACATTTCTTAGACCGTCGTACAGCTTACATTTCACGTCTCTTCTACATTTATCAATGTTAATACTATGATGTGTGACAAACATATATATTTATATATTTTTTTTCTTCAAAATCATTAAAGTGATAACGCACAACTTTGCTATTCCTTTCGTATTTACACGATACGGGATAATATACGGTATTTATAAATGCATCACGCCGAAAGGATCACATCTTTGCTACAACTACTGTACAACTATCTGCGAGTGAAATAAAGCTCCCTATGAGAATGTACACGCATTCGCGAATGCGTTTCCGTGATGGTATAATCTCAAATGTTGGAGTTTTCAGTCGTATAAAAAAAACCATAAACGTGAGAATTGAAAGATGTTGCAGATGGGACTGATTTCCCTAATAAATGCATCAACGACGAAGCACAGCCAGTTATCAACGTGAACTGAAAGTTTTTTCGATTTTCAAAATTAGATCGCGCTGTCGTGATTACATTTTGAAAATTAATGTACAAATATACGAACAAATTATTTAGAAATAATTTAAATACCATTCATTTTGGTACTTCAAAAATTTTTACTTTCTCTAAATATATATATTTTTTTTATTTCATATCCACAGTTCTGTGGACGATAAAAAAAATTATCTATGAAAAATATTTGCAATTTAATTCTTGATTTTCTTTGTTTTTTACTCCATAATCCAAATGCTCCAATAGGGAGAACACTAGTCTACAACATGCGTATTTACCAAGCGCTAAACGAGATCGTTTATCTTTTCTCGCATTTTCCGTGTTTTCTCTTTCTGCATTAAGCATCGGCCGCTATAACAAAGCGATCCGCTAATTGAAAAAAGAATCGTGAAACAATGATTCCATATCATTCTATCGTGTCGCGTTCATTTTCCGAGTTTCTCGAACATGATCAGCTTCTCCTTGAAGCTCTTGGTGTCGGTGGACACCTCCGATATGTTTCCGTTAAGCATGTTTTGCAGGTCCTCATCGTTCTTATTGCTCACTAGCAGATTGTCAAAAAGCATCTTCGTGTCTTCCTGTTTAGCCACCGGCGACGATGGCTGCGATGTGCTCATTTGCTTCTTCTTCGGATAAATAATGGAGCCCCGTTGGTTATTTCCGTTGTCCGTCACCCTGGTCATTATTGTGATGGCCAACAACTGTTGGATACCTAAGTTCTCCTTAGATACTGGTTCAGAAGATTGACGCCAGTAGTATTTATTGTCGGCTGAAATGAGCGATTTGGAGTCTTCGGTATCGTCTCCCATCGACGTTTGATCGGAATCGGTTGCTGGTACGTTTCTGCTGGACCACGAATCCTGAAAGATTATTAAAAATTAATCTCTATATTATCGAGAAAAGAATTAAGAAAATATTTGGAGAATACGGTTAGAAAAGCTGTTTAACTTACACATAATTTAACATTTATTGTAAATTTTGTTATTATCTTGAAACCTGATAAAAAAATAAGTTAATACCAAGAAAATTTATTCATTTAATTTCTTCTCAGATAAAAAGAAAAACTAGAAAAATGCTTTCTTAACCCTCGACTACTGTAACGGGTCATTTGAACGAAGCAAAAATTTTTAAATGATTGTACATGTCTTTACGATTAGTACTATAAGATTCTAAATTGTAAAAAGACTATGAATTTTCTCCTATCAATCACCGTAAGACGGAAGATTTTACTTGAAGTTTATACTTCAAACAGGACGCTTTAGAACTTAGATGTAGTTTTTATAGCTGTAATTGAGGGTTAATGTATATCATTTTCCTGTCTTTTATAAAATCTTACATTTTTTTCACGCCTATCTATCACGCTATCTGTGATCTCTTCTTCCTTCCTATCCTGCTCCAAGTCTTTCTCCAGACTATCCAACGTCTCGGTGCTCTCCGATGACTTGTTCCTCCTCTCTGAATCCAGGGTATCTGTGCTACCTAGTTCCGAGCTTTCAGAGGATTTCTGGAGTCTCGACGGTTTTCTGGTAGGAGTCGGTCGCTTCTCTCCCTCGTGGTCATCTCCAGAAACTACCATATCCACTATACTGGTGCTCGGTATTCTTTTAGGCGTTCTTCTGACCCTCCTGTTCTCTAGTCTGTCCTCCACGTCCAAATTATCCGAACTCTCCGAGGACATTCTCTTACTTGATCGTCTACCGCCCATTTTTGGCGCGTCATCATCTAATATCAATTCCGCCTCGACGTCGTCCTTCATGTCATTCATATCGATTCTCTCAAAGTTCTCGGACGATTTGGATATGCTCTTCGACAATCTTCTTCCGCGCGATAAATTGATGTCGGAAACGCTGCTTCTCTTCTGTAGTTCTTGGCCGATTTCCTCGCCGGCGCAACCGCTCTGTTCAAGCAGATCAAAACTCTCCGATGACTTAGACATCGCCTTCGAACTTCTACGTGCTCGGAAGTCGAAACTACTTCGTCGTCGCTCCATCGAATCATCGCTGGCCAGCGGTTCGATCGCTTCTAAACTGTCCGATGATTTAGAAACGCGATCAGTAGATTTCGAGATTGGATTCAACAGTTGTCTTCTGACCGAAGCCACCGGTTTTGCGGTCTCTTCGTACTCCATCAGTTTGTTGAAGCCCTCTTCGGTGGATTTGGAGAACCAATAGCCGGGAGACGAATCCAAACTGTCAGGCGACTTAGACAATCGATTCGACGAAGATCTTCTACGCGGTAGTTTCGCTTCCAGTTCCTCAAACACGTCGGAACCCTTAGATATCCGGTTGGACGGCCTCCTGGCGACCGGTATCCATCTGACTTCTGCCTGCTGTTCCTCGGTAGCAGTGCTATTCATCTCGGCGCTGCTTCGTGACGCTGTCGTAGCGTCCAGACTATCTGGTGATAACGATGTTGCGCTTGGTTTTCGCGGTAGCTTTGACTCCAACTCTTCGAAGATGTCGGAATTGCGGGACAGCCGGCTCGACGACTTTCTAGTCACGCCAATGGCCCTAGGTGGTTCCGTCGGTGACGGCGCATTGCTAGTTGATTGGAGCAGTTGCTGCTGTTGCTCCTGTTGCTCCAAACTATCCAAAGTGTCCTCAACGATGGTCGGTGGTATCGATGGCGAACTGGGTGCAGCACTGTTGGGCGATATCGTCGTCATCGTGCGACGTGGTGGACGCCGATTCTTCGGACGCACGGAGATCCGGTGATGCGCTGCAGTGTGGCTCAGGCTCGCGCTTTCTAGTTCCGCTGTTATAAATGGGAAAAAATTGCATTTATTAAAATTATTATCATGCAAAGTATGGCAATTTAACATAAATATATTGCAGAATTTATAAAATATAATATGTAGGTATATGTAATCTACTAATATTATTAATGTGATAGTAATTATTGATTCTAAACATATTTTTAAGACGTGCAAAATAAAGAATATTTAATAAAGACTAAATTATTATAAATCTTTTGTATCGTTTAAAATGACTGATTACAAATTTGAGTTCAACGGCATCATTGATGTGAAATACTTTTTAGCTAACTTTCTCTCATATTTTTCTATGTCCTTTTAATCTAATGTTTCCTTACATTTTCAAACAACAAGTTTGTACAAGCTTGGATTCTAACTAGATAGTGTAAATCGCAATTATCTGAACAATTTAGCGTGTTGCGAAGCAATGAAACTGTAAGTAATATTCTATAAGACTTACGTAAATCTTCCTTGGCTACCGGAACAATCCGATCAACCGTATCACATGTTGATCTCGTAATCTATATTAAAAAAAAAACAAAGATTTCTTTCATTATTTAGTTATTAGTATTTAGTTAATCAGATTAAACTTATGTAATGCACTGCTAACGAATCTCATTCCACGACTTCTCGTTTTGATTGTCGAGAGTTCGCGTAAGAAAAGGACAAGAAAAAAATAAAGTTGGTAAAAAATTGAAATTTTCATAAATTGCTATTCCTGCTTAATTTATAAGCAGCAAGATTACCCAATCACATACGCGGATTGCCAGATTTACCTGACAGGTAAAATTTAGTAAAAGATGGAACAACCAGCCCTAAGATAATAGTATTAATTAAAATTAATAAAATAGTAAACATAGTATTTCTAGAATCTTCAAGAAAATACGCTTTACAAATAGCGATAAGTATTTTCTTATCGACGAAATTAATTTAAGAAGTTGATGTTAGGATTAGTATTACAAATGATATTATATTAATTTAAAAAATCTTACAGATCTATTTATGCAAGTCTATTCTTACAAATCTATTTTTATCAAGAACATCTAAAGACACATATTCCAATTTCTTTTTTTAAGTACATTTCTGTATTAATTTATATCAATCATGGGCAATAGAATACAGGCGAGAATCAGAAACAGCAGAATTAGAGAGATATGCGATATACAAGACATAGTGAGATAGACGAGATCCAGGAGGAGAGAATGGAGAGATCACGTAGGAAGGATGAGGGAGGACGACTAGCCAGGATAGTGATGACGTAAAAACCCGAAGATCGCAAGGAAGATCTTGGAAACGCTGGCACGAGAGCTGGACATCGTCATTCCAGGGCGAGTAGGGGCAAAAGTGGTAGACAGGACATAGTCCTAACTTAGGAAGAAGAAGAAGAATTTATATC